AATGAGACCCTTAATGCTGAATGTGATGATGGCCAGTGTGAGATTGAATACTGACAACTCTACCCAGCCTAAATATTTCATTGTGCATTTCACTTTAAACACGTATCAAGCTGGTTACCTATGTACAGGGTTTAAAGACTATGGCAGGCAAGGCTTGGGTATATGAACTCTTCAAATCCCTGTTTTGTATAAGAGGACTCTGGTACAATAGTCAAGCCTCCTGGAAGTCTGTAATAAATCATCTTTGCAACCATAAGCATGTACAGTTGACTGCTCACCACCGCCCTGCTGACCCACCCTACCTGGTGGAATTTTAATTCCCTCAGGAAAATTGATCCCACCAGTTGGGCACATTATTCTCCCTGTCTTCCATTTAGCCTGTTAGTTTGCTGACAGTAGAGTACACAGCACTTAGCAGCTGGTTTGTGGAACCATCAGTCAGGAAATTGTATGATAAATAGGAGGTAGCCAGGTTTCATGGCACTTCCTTCTGCTTCAGCAGTTTTCTCTTGACTTTGGAGAAGTCATCATGGGGTGTTTTGTCAAGGGCCAGAGCAAGAGATTGCCGTGGTACGGTGACTTATTACACATACACTTGAATTATGATGCACTGTGTAAATAATAAACCACTGTGAGGAGGATAATTATGGTGGCTGCTGACGACTGGGGCCTCTTCTTGTCATATGGGTTTTCTTGAACAGTTTTTTGGGTCTGTGATGGAATATGCTGCTGACCCACAGAGAAGGGATGAGCCAGGATGCGAGGCAGTTGCCAAGCTTTGAAGATTGCAGAGCATCTTTAGAGAAGCAGGTCAGGACCCATGTCACGTGAAGCCATGTATGTTAAAGGACCCCCAGCTCATGCTGGGTTTTACTCTAGCTAAATTTAGCGCTTTAAGCTACAAGCACATCTTAAATTGAAAGAGGCGTGTTCCATTGCCTTTTCCCCAAAAAACAGCTTCAGAGGTGTGATTTCCACTAATAAGCAACACAGGCTATAATTGTTATGTAGATTTCATCAGTCCTGAAAAGTTATTTTAAACTTAATCAAGAGGAAAACATAGAAACTGTGAAACACATAAACTAAAACCAGATGGGTGCATTCATTTTCTGTTCTTTATTTAAACCTAATTCCAGAATGCAGAATTCATAAATTTTCTCAGGACGTAATAAACACTTTGTATAAACAGTGTAACGAGATGCGCCACATGCTTTTCAGTCAGAATTAACTTTTAAACTCTCAAAAGACTATAGACTCATCAGTTGAGAAATAGCTACTAAATGCCCTAGGAGTTGTGTCTTATATCTTCCCTTCAAATATTTTTTGCAGTGCTTGGTCATTTTCTCTTTCATTCTGAAAGGAGATGAAAGTGAATCTGACTCCTGGAAGAATAATTTCTTGAAAATGAAAAGGTGGCAGAGCGTTTGCAATGTCAGTGATAGGGCTGTAGGTTTTCCCAAGGGGAAGAGTTTTTTGTACTGCTCTGGTACATGCTTTCGATTTTATACGATTAACTGGTTGGTCTTCGTCTGGGTGCATGTAGCCACAGCCACTTCATTATAAATATGCATATAAAAGATAATGCCTATTGTTTCTGGGATATGGGAAACATATATTAAATGTGGAATAGATTGACACATTTTATTTCTCTGCATGTGTGTGTGCATGCGTGTGCATGTGTGTGATGTGGGTTTGTACTTCTTTTTCATGGTTCCTAGCTACACAAATGAGAAAACCAGGTACAGTGAACATGCACTTAACCTGGTGGAGAGAATTTAATAAATACAACCAAGAGCCAAAAAAGTAAAGAAGTAAAACTTTGTATCTCCTAACTCTTAGTTATTACAATGTCCCTGGAAAGAGCCATGTAAGGGGATGTGTGAGAAGCCCTTAGGAGGTAAATTGTACTTTATTAATGCTTAAGTTGCACACAGTTCTTGAAAGCTTATTTTTCTGATTTCCAAGAGCAGATGGCATATGTTAAGTGAGACAACTGCAGGAGGCAAGTAGGTTTGCATCCAGAGCCACAGGTAAAAGGTATGGAAAGGAGCTAAGAGCCACCCCAGTGTATTTGATGGCCATGGTGTGTTTGTTGTATTTGTATCTCCTTACCCCAGATTTGGTTCTAAATAGTGGCTTTGTTTCCGAATTTAAGATCAAGAAACATTCACTGAGTATGCAGCAGACATTCAAACTAGAGTCAAAGGTCACTCTCAATTTTATGATGTCTTGAAGATGAATAATTTTCATCAGAAATAGTTAAATCAAACAGAATGTTTGGGCTCCCCAGGGGGTGGTTTTTAATCATCAAGATCACTGAGTGGGACGCAAGAATGAATTTCCCAGCCTTGCTGGGTAAGCTGTTAGTTTAAACTTTGGAACTTAGCAAATCAACTTAATATTTGCACTACAAAAGAACCGACTTCCATGTCATTCAAATCTTAATGGATGAACTTAATTGATGTTATTGATTTTTTTACATGGACTCTCTGACATGTCTGAAGTGTGATAAGTGATCAGGTAGTTAGTATGCCCCTCACCTGTTGAATTTCCAGCATTGTCACAGTGACCGTGATTTGTTTACTACCCAAATGATTCCTTCCCTCCTTTTATGCCACTCACTCCCTCCCTGCCCCACCTTGTAACAGTACATGAAGAGTAAGTGACATTTTCAGTACAATATTCCTGTTGGAATTTTTTTTTTTTTATACTGGGGATTGAACCCAGGGTCTCTGCACTGAGCTATACCCCAGCCCTTTTTTATTGTTTATTTTTTTTTTGGTACTGGGGATTGAACTCAGGACCTTGTGCTTGTGAGGCAGGTGGTGGAACCACTGAGCCCCGGCCCTTTATTTTTGATTTCCAGACAAGGTGAGGCTGAGTCACCCAGGCTAGGCTCCATCATGCAGTCCTCCTGCCTCATCCTCCCCGAGTGTTGGGATTGTTGGCATGTATCACCATGCTGGCTTATTTTCTAGATTCTAGATCTGGTAAAATACATGCTGGTAGGACTACTGCTTCAGGCTTCTCCCTGGTGGGCCACACAGCTTCTACTCATCAATTTTTCATTTGTTATTTTATTTTTTCTCCACAACTGTAGTCTTGGATTGTCATAGGAAGGCAACAAGGACAGAGCTTAAAACCAGGGAAGTCATATATTACAAGTTTTAAAAAAGTGTTTATTGTGGGTCCACACTTATCAAAGAAAAATTGGAAAATAGAAATGTGTAGGGGAGGAAATCTCAGCTGTCTGAAGCCAAGAGGTAGAGATGTGATAGTCATCCAGAGACACCTCACAGTAGGGTGAGTGGCTACTGACCTCAGGGGTGCAGTCCACATCCTACCCTGTGTTGGCTCAGCCTTCCAGGCCCCCAGCCTGGTTCTGTGCCTTCTTTCTGTGTCCCCAGAGCCTTTCTAGTACTGTGACAAAGTCTTCAGACCTTTGGAAGCAATGCTGGGCCTTTCTGAGGCTTGTTTTGGGCAGGCAGTGTTCCAGGAAGGGCAACAGCTGAAGAATACCTTTTTGCCCATTTGTTGTTAGTATAGCTTTCTTAGCTGGGGAGCCAAACCTCCAGGTTTTGGCTTCCTTGATTTTGTTTATTGGAACATGAGGAAAAGTTTAATGTATTTACAGATTATCAGCCATAGTCCTAAATGTAAAATCTGTTAAAACTCTCTTCAAGCTGGTCTCAAGAGGGGATGCTTATAATCCCAGACCGAGGCAGGAGAATCACAAGTTCAAGGCCAGACTGGGCAACTTAGCAAGATCCTATGTCAAAATACAAAATAAAAGGGCCATGGATATATTCAGTGGTAGGAAGGCCCTGGATTCGATCCCCGGTACTGCGAACAAAATAAAACAAAACTTTTTATTTGGGCAGTGAATCACTATTTTTTTACATAAAGTTTATTTTTTTATTTACAAGAGACAGTAGGCATAAGTTACTAGGAATAAATGGGAGCAAAAGAGCTACTTAAAGGCAAAAGACCCACATGGGAGGACCAGAGGAAGAGCAGGAGGGAATGGTAGGGCCACCCTGGCAGGAATTCTTTCGATTTGCTCTAAAATCTCCCTTGTTGAGCCTGAGTGGATCTATTCATCTTTGTCAGACTTAGCTTTCTCCTGACCAAGGAATAAATTTGTTGCCCTGACAAGGTGTGAGGGTACACACCAGTAGTTTTAGCACTTCAGGAGGCTGAGGCAGGAGGATTACAAGTTCAAGCCCATCCCAGGCAACTTAGCGATTTAGTGACACCTGTTTCAGAATTTAAAAAAAAAAAGAGCTGGGTTATAGCTCTGTGTGAAGATCCTGGATTCAATCCTTTCTACCCCGAGGGAGGGAGGGAAATTGCTGTCTTGTGTTTGGGATAATGGAGGCCCAACCCAGGCCAAGAAATTTAAATTTAGAAAAAATTAAAATGTGTGTGTGTATTTATTTACATACACATAGAGTCTAGCAGAAACTTTAGAAAAGGCACCCTTAAAAACACCAAGGGCAGGGCTGGGGATTTAGCTCAGTGGTTCTGTGCAAGCACAAGGTCCTGAGTTCGATCCCCAGTACCAAAACAAACAAACAAACAAACAAAAACACCAAGGGCATGGGAGACATGAAATTAGCACTTATGTTACAATGGCGTTGCCTGAAATTTACTAGGCAATATGATTGTTTCCTTCTGGTTTCGAGGCTTTCCTTGTCCTTCCCTTTGGGCAGTAACCTGTCTTCCAGAGTAGGGTGCTACACTAGGCCTCTCCGCTTTCCAGTCTCTGCTGAAACTGCATCCTAAGCTCTGCTTTCTCCAGAGCAGTTTTGTATGATCTACCCTGGCATACATCTGCTGGTGCCTTGATGAACTTCACTTGTAGCTTTCAAGAGTTTGTCCCCAAATTCCGGAAGCAGATTCAGGGTTAGTGGTGAAGAACCCGGCAGTGTTGCCCCATGAGTTGCAAAGCTGTTTCACAGTGTTCGTTTTATACAAGGTGGACTTTCTTTCTGTTTCAGACCCTCCTCATCTATTTCCTGCCTTCCATCCTCCTGTCCCAATTGATGCCAGACATCACGAAGGCCGTTACCATTATGACCCATCTCCTATTCCTCCGTTGCATGTGTAAGTATTAAAACTTTACCTATTAATAAAATGGAGCAAAATACCGGCTTTGATGGTCTTGGGACCTTTTGAAAATGGGACATCTACTGAGGTTTGAAGATGTGATAGAAGTATAAGATTTACCTCTGAGACACAGCAAGCCTGTCTTCCTGGATTCACTGAAGCAGATCCCTGCTGCTTCCTGAGGAATGCCTGTCACCCAAGGTAGCCGGCAAAGATTCCCTCTGTATTTTGCTGACGTGTGTTCTGTGGGCTGTAAATACAAAATTAAAAAGTAGAAACTTAGCAGAAGATTACTACTTAAGATATGTATTTGTTGGAAGTAGGTTTGAAGTTTGTCATGCTACAATTTTTTGTTATGTGAAGGTTGAGCCCTGGGGATCCCAGTGAATCATAATGAAATTTTTGTATGGTGAATTTTCATGGCCCCCATGCTACGTACAACAAAAATCACTTGATTGATGGGAGTGTCAGCCAAACAAAACGGCACATGTGGCGGGACCCAGGGTTTACACAAAGATAAAAAGAGAGAATGGTGGTGATAACATCCATTAGGAGAGGAAACAGAATATCTCCTGGAAATAAATATCATCTTCCTTGGTTTGAAGGAAAAGAGAAACAGTGGATTTGCAAACTAAAACAGTATTCTGTCCAAAGAACTGTCATATACAATAATAATTGGAGCCACTCTCTGGGAGGAGCTGTCCCATGCTAATGGCCTTGAAATACACATTTAGTCATATGTAATAATCACCCTTCATTCTGAGACAGTAAAGTTAGAAAAGCACAAATAATACTTTGAAGAATAATGCTGGTTATTTAGATGGTAGATTGCATCTCCATGGCTATTAGTTACAGCTGTGTAATTACACATTATGCCGAAGAAAAATGAAGTTGTTTTAAAACAAGTCCTCCTCTGTGAACAGAATTAATTGATATTAACAGTCCTAACTACATGCCCAAGTACACATATAATATTTTACCCATAGTTTTTTGGATCCATCTTCCATTACTGAATTGTAATTTCAACGCAGATTTGCCTGGAGGTAAGTAATAAATCTGTGTTGCAGACTTCTATGAGCATTAAAGGAGAAGTGGGTATTTATAGAGAGAGAATGCAAAAACTTGTGACTTATTCTTTGACTTTTCACTGGAACACAAGTAAGTATTTGGAGGGTTCTGAAGCATGCTAAAAATACACTCACATAAAAACCAAGAGGCCAATTTAAGATCCCTATACAAAGGGAAGGAAATTCCAAATTCAGTCTGCAACATGACATGTAATTCACCCCATGATGCAGAGCTTTTATGACACAAATGGGACCACATGGACCTCAGATGAGGATCTGCCCCACGGCAGAGGGGGCGTGGCGACAAGGATGGCTAATTCCTCCCAGATTTGAGTCTCTGGGACGAAGTAATGTAAATCAGATTTTCTGTGGAATTTTAGAGTTCCTCACTCTTTCCAAAATCATTTTCTAGAGAAAGTTTTTAAAATGAAATTTAAAAATAAGTTGGAACTGTTTCCTCTAGGTTCATGATAGTTTGGCTTGTAATTAAATTAAAATAGGAAAATCATTCATTCATTTCATTCATCAGTGACAATCCCAAGTCTTGGTTCTTTGGCAGGATGTGATAACAGCAGACCTTCCTGTTGACCCTACTGTGTGTTCTGGGCACTGCTGTATGTTCTTCATGTTCTTCACCACAGCTGCTGAATCTGCTTTAGGAATTTTTAGAGGAACTCGAGATTTTTATGTTTTATACCACTTCTGACTTTTACAGCCAAGCTTTGAGATACTTTAGCAGCAATTGACTAAATAGTTCGTTAGCAGTCAAATATATAACTGTCAGATTTGGAGTGTAAGGCAGTAAGTAATCCTGAGCCTCAACACAGAAGTCCTCAGGGGTTAACATGGGGAGCTCATGGGTCTGCAGCCTCCTGGCACTACTGGACTTCTGACTCATTCTTGCGGGACCCTGGGGGTACACTGAGCTTATAAAGTCGTCTCCAAGGAGTGGGGCAAGTCATACCTCCTACCTCTATAACATACGGTCTCTCTGCATTGCCCTTACTGGTGAGCCTTCTCACATGGTGAATTCCTGCTTATATTTTCCCTTCTTTCCTTTCTTTCCCCTTCCCCTCCCACTTCCCCTACCCCTTTGGACCTTTTCTTCCTATTTCAAATTATCAATTATTCATTTTAATCCTTATTTATGCTTTCATTTTCTCACACTAGAGAAACTATTCAGTATTTACACATGTGTATCCTATTTACTTCCCTTAAGAGTATGGCCTCAGTATGCATCCATTTAGCTATAAATATCTCTAGTTTCTTGTTCTTTATGGCTGAGTAGTACTCCATTTTATAAAAAAAAAACCCCACATCTTCTTTATCCAGTTTCCAGTTGATGGGCACTTGGGCTGTTTCCAAGCTTTAGCTATTACGAACTGTGCTGCTATAAACATGGGTGCACATATATCGCTGTGGTATGATTCTTTAAATTCTTTGGGGAAGATACCCAGCAGGGGAATAGCTGGGTCAAATGGGACCTCTAGCCCTAGTTCTTTGAGGTATCTCCATAGTGACTTCCACAGTGGTTGCACCAGTCTGCACCCCCACCAACAATGGAGAAGGGTTCCTTTCTCTCCACACCCCCGCCAGCATTTGTTATTGATTGATTTCTTGATAGCAGCCACTCTTTCTGGGGTGAGGTGAAATCTCAGTGTTGTTTTCATCTGCATCTCTTGAATGACCAGATGTTGAACATTTTTTCATATATTTATTTGCTGCTTTTACTTCTTTGAGAAATGTCTGTTCATCTCAGATGCCCATTTTTGAAGTGGGTCTTTGAATTTGGGGGGGTCTGATTTTTTTCAGTTCTTTATGTATTCTATAGCGATTTATTTTTAATAGTCGCTGTCCTTGATAGTTTAGTGGGCTCTGCCAGTGCTCGGACAGGTGCTTTGTAAAAGGCTTGGTGGACAGTCACGCAGGTGCAGTCTGAGAGCCATCAGAGCATGTCAGTTCCCCTCCACTTTGTCACCCTCTTGTGCTGTGGTGGAAACTTCTCCTTGGTGTGTTGGTTTCATGACATGGAAATGAAGGTTCTTTGCCTTAGCCACTTCTTGAAATTACAGGAAGAGTTCAATAAAATGAAGTTCATGGAAGTATTTGGAGAAGCATGGAGCTCTTATCAGATGCTGAAGGTTAGCAGATGGAGCAGCTACCCTGAGTTTCTCTCCTAGCTTACCTTAGTGATGAGCTTTTGCACCTTCAGAAAGGTGATAAGTAGATGCCTGTGATCATATTGGAAGTAGAAGTTGATGCTGGCAAATATGACTCAGTTTATTGAAATCTTCCAAGCACATCTTTGCTGTGGGGTAAAGCAGTAACTGGGAAAAAATAAAGTGATTTCATCTAAAACTTGAATTCCAAAATGCTTACCATATAATTGTCCTATTGAAAATGAGATCAAGTGAGCTTACTTGGCTTTAGAGTGAATAATTTTAATTATAAGAAGACATAATTTGGGGATATTCGCATTATTTTGTCTACACGATTGTTCTTCTGTAGCCAACTTTTGGAAATAAATTATCAGTCATTGGGAAACCAGGATTTGTGCTGATGGAAATGCCAACAGATCTCTGTTTATAGAAGGATGGCAGGCTCTTCGATAATTATGCTATCATAGCCCATCATTAAAGATTCTATTGAAAGAGGTTTATAAATTGCTCCCCTTTTTAGATAAACCACCCTATATTAAGGCATCAACGATATGGTGCAGAATTAAATTAAAATCTCATAAAATGAAATATGTTCTGTATTAGCTGTTTGACACTTAATTTGCCTCTGAATGAGTAGAGGAAATCACAAATTAACCTGCCTTTGTTTTTCCAACCATGGCTTATTAGGTGTTAGAACAACTGCAATTATAGCCTAATAATAACCACTAAGCCTTATAAATATGTACGGAAATACCTCAGCTCTTGTTAAAGAGCCCAGTTTGTTAAATGGAAAGCCTTTAGCTACCCTGCTCACTCTGTAGCGTTAGCTACGATTTATGATTAGGCAGTGTAGATGGAGTATAGTAACTTAAATTGATTCAAATGTGGTACTGGAAATAATATCAGAATTTATTAGTATTTCCTGTAACTCAAAATGACGAATATAGATTTAACACATGTAAATAGGTATCATCTCTCCCTGCATCTCATTGCAGTTGTCTTATAAAATATAGGATTCTGCATTGTGTTTATTTAATTCAAACAAGGGATATGGGGAATCTTTGCTTATCTTCTGAGTTATTCTCCATTGAATTCACTGGGACTTATGCTCAGCATACAGTTGGAGTCTCTTTCTCTCTCAGAGCATTTGTTATGACCACAAATTCCAAGTTAAGTCATGTAGCAAAAAATACAATGTTTTAGATAAAATAGAAGAGTCTACTTAATTATATTCCTGAGATTCTTTGGAGCATTAATGATAAAACCTGATACTCATTTATGTCAATTTTTACTCGATCTTTTACGTATTTCTTCCCTTGCATCATGAATATCCGGGGTATGTACTTGCATACCTGAGGTGGTATTCTGGTATTATATAGATATTAATGATGTTCTCTAGACTGACAGTGACTACCAGTTTTAAACATTTCATTTAGATTCATAGACAACCAATATATTACATCCTCTTACCCCAGAATACATTTATATTTTTAAGTGACTTCTTTCCATAATAATGAAGAAAGGACTATTTCTTGCATTTTTGGTGTTTTCCTTTGTTTTTAGTGTTAGAACTAACACTAAGCATTCTGAAAGTTGACATGGTGTCTTTGTGGAAACCCAATGTACGAAGTAATTTTAAATCCCAATTTGATTTCATTTATTCTGGATTTATCAGTGGGGGTGTATGGGGGCGGAGAGAGAAAGAGACTGATTGATTCGAGGGATGGTATCTATTCTTTTTTTGTTTGTTTGTTTTTTGGTACTGGGCCTC